TTTTCTTTTGCTATTCATTGGAACCATAGGGTTATTTTTTCCTTTTCCAAGGGAAAATAGACCTGAGAGTATAAAGATAAACAAATGTGAATCCTCAGAGTAAGAAATAGCAGAAGGATTTTCTATTCCAGTGGAATGGAAAATATGCTATATTTGGCTGTCTTTTTTGTGGGTGTCCCTTTTGTATCTTCTTAAGACAACCAAACCTGGATACTTGTAAGTTTCCCTCAACAAAAAGTGGGGAGAGGAGTTGTATCCTTTAGTGAGGATGAAAGTTGAGGATAATATCTAGTTCTCTGACCAAGATGGCACTCCAGAAACCATCTTAGGAATTTACCTATGAACTTGGGCAGTGGTGGAAATTCTCCACTGTTTTACATACACAAAAATCTACATGCATTTAGTCTTGGGAAAAACAGGGAGGATTTCAGTGATAAAAATGATAACTGGCTATAGATAATAAAAATAATATAGGCTTTTACATACATTGGAGATGTTAGACTTGTTATAAAAAACTGGAGTCAATTTATTGTTTCAAACAGCATGCTATACAGTCATTTTATTACTTTGATTTTATCTGTAACAAATGAGACATTTTGAACATTGTCTTTTCTCAGGGATATGTCTGAGAGACTCAGAGAAAATAAAATATCTTTGACTTACTCAACACTTGCTTATTAAGAGTATGTATGAGGCACTCACCTATGTATGCTGGTGACCATAACTTCTACCTTGTGGTCTCCTCATACTAAAACTAGTTTCTTCTTTATGGAAATGTTTATAAAACTTTGGTTGGCATAGAATAACATAGTGAGCTTGTTAAAAAAAAAAAAAAAAAAAACTGTCGGCCCTGTTGCCAGGGTTTCTGAACATTTGGGGTGGGGATGAAAAATCTGCAAGTTTTCAAGTGAGACTGATGCTGCTGGTCTGGGAACTACCCTTTGAAAACCTTGGATTATAGATTATCCTGTATTTGTAGGGGGAAATGTAAAAAAAAGCTGTTATTAATGAGATTTAAGCAGTTAGTTATTTCTAGATAGTTAAGACTTTAAGCAGATAGTTATTATTACTTCAATGATGTTTAGAATGTATTTTGCAGTCATAACAAAGGAAAAACAGTGCAGAATATGACAAAACCCAATAAAGAGTTTTCTTCTTAGTACTATAGTCTAAGAATTTTTTTAGACCTTAAAGCAATTCTCTGGAAGAAGTCTAAAGGGCACTGGGCCCTAAGTCCTAAATAATGCATCAGTCCAAATAAGTGCTAAACGATTGCCAAGTTAAAAGCCAGACTGTAATGTGTTTTTCTCTTACAGTTCACCACTGCTTCTAATTATGACCAAAATATTCTTATATAAGTAACGGAACCAAAAGGAGATAATGTCCTATTTTGCAGTTAGCTTTATTTTGATAATATCTGAAGGCAAAATCACTCGCAAGATTTAAACTTCACAACTTTTGTCTCTCCTGGCTGGTTTGATGAGGTTAGAATTTAGTCTTAAAATCACTGCTTGGCAAGAACAATGTGGTTTGTGAGATCAGATTTGGAGTTTTATCCAATTTGGATAGAAGTCTGTATTTACTTTTGGAGCTGGCCTTAGAATTCCCAACTAACTTCTTTCCCTATCACCAATATCTAGCTAGTCCCCAAGTTTTCTCAAATCCTCCTTGCAGGAGCAGCTCCTATTTCCTTCCTTGGTGCTTTTGTGTAGATATTTACTATTTCATGAAATGACTGATTCAGTTCATTTCACTGATTAACATTTTTGTCAATTTGAAATGCCATACTATTGTACCTTTGAGTCTTCTAGGAGAAACATTCCTCTCTACATTGGCTCCTTTGCCTCTGCTGCTATAAATATGCAAATCTCTCTCATTCAAAAACAATTTAACCAATCTCCTCTTGTTAAATATTGAGGTTGGTAACCAATGTTTTATATTTGGCACCCTATTCTGTTCATTATTTTTCTTAATAAATATAAGAATTATGATTGGGGCACATTCATGGATGTGACAAAGCCACCATTTCAATGATCATTTAAATCTTGACATGGAGAAATGTTTGAAAAAAAAAATTTTTTTTTTGTGGGACCCTTGCTGGTGGTTGGGAATCGAACTGGTGCTGCAGAGGCTGCGGGCAGCCTCACAAGCCAGCACTCAACCGCTGCGCCACCAGGGAAGGCCCTGAAATGTTTTTGAATCAAAAATAACACTTATACCACTCCATAACATACTTCTTAGTTACAAACAGATATATAGAGATAGTTACAAACAGGTAAATATGTCAGTGGTCAACAATGGGTGTTTAAGTTAGAGTAATACTTAATTTTACTTTTTTATTATTTTTAAAAAAATGTATTTATTCATGCATACAAAGCTGGTGTACAGGTCAGATGTGCAGGGTGAGAGGATTCACCAGAAAGAGAGTGGGGAACAGAACAGGCAGATCTACTGAAATACACTGCTGAGGGGAGTGGTGGGTGAGACAGGAAAAGTCTGCCACACCATGTGGGAATTTCCTCAGCCCGCCAGGATCGAACCTGCTCGGCAGAGGCTTCGGACAGCTTCATAGTGCTGTCAACCGCCTGTGCCTCCAGGGAGACCCAATACTTAACTTGAAATGTAGGCATTTTTGTTTGTTTCACATTAATTTTTACTATGCATTGTCTGCACAGTAAAAATTATCAAGTGCATAGAAAAAATAAACAAGTGTCTTTATGTGAAAGTTATTGCTACTAGCAAGTTGGAATTTAATTTTTTTCTGCTTTTACATAGTTTTCTTCCATTTTTTTATGCTAGAAATGGATAGTACTTACATGTAGCATTAAATAGCATTTAATAGTATTATATGTTTTGATAATATTAAATAGCATTTACATCTACTATTAGAGGACATAAAATTAATATTTATATTTAAAGTTATATTTAGCCTATGTAAGTATATGCCAAACCATGTTTAATTCCAATACCACTTTTCTGTGCAAAAACTTCAGGGTTTGCTTTTTCCTTATCACCAAAGCTCAAACTTCTTGTCTTTGAAAGAAAGTTTTCCATAATCTAAGACCTGTAGGTTACTGCCTTTCATGATCTAATGTTACATCTGAATAATGTTTTTTCATGGAGTCCCTGTTCTTTCCTGCTTTACTGTTCCCCTAGTTCCCCCTGATCTTTTCCACACTCTTCTTTCCTTAAGGCCTAGGTCAAATCCTATTCTACATAAACCCTTTTAATCCAACCTAACTTTGGCATCTGAGTGCATTGTTTTTCATTTTTATGGCCTGTTTACTTCTTTTTAGGTAGTATATTAGTTCCTCAACTTCATTTATTGTACATCTTTCTTGGGGCATGGAGACAAAGGTTAGCCTCTGGTAGTTAAACTGGTAAAATATATTTTTGCAATATATGTGATCAATCATTTGTGGAGAGAAAAACAAATTTTGATATGACTCCTCCCTTGGCCACTTAATGGCCTCATGCATTTATACAAAGTCTTTAACGCTCTCTATGCCTTAGTTTCCTTATTTGAAAAATTGAGAGAAGTGGCATTTAGTTCCTGAGAATTCAGTGAGACAAGGATATAAAGAATACATCATTTGTTAGAGTGCAGATGATATGCTATAATATCAAATGCAGTGGTTTGACTGAAAAGATTGTTTCCCTATCAAGAACCAGACTTGAGATGAATAGCTAATGGCTGAAGAAGAAGCTCTGACAATTTCAGCATGGGGCTTTCTTGGCCCATATAGCTGCTCTAGTTGTCCCAAACAACAAAGAGGAAAAGAGGAAGTGAGAGCAGAGTTGCTTCCTCTCCCATCCCATTAGTCAACATTTAGGCCTGTAACCACATTTAACTGCAAAGGAGTTTGGGTTTTTAAGTCTCATCTGTGTGCTCTGCTGAAACTTAGGGGGAAGGTCCTATTATTAATAGGAGATGGACAGAATGGGACCCAAAAAACTCTTAACAAAATCAGGATTCTAAGCCTGAAAGATTGTAGCTCAGTCCCAATTGGAATGAATTGGGATAAAGGCCTTGTGAGACCTGCTGGAACTTCCACCTGATCTCTCCAGCACAACCGTTTTATCAAAATGTGTGCCCACTCTACCCTTTCCTTTGAACTATTAAAAGCACTGTTTACAAGGTCTGTTCACTCACAAGGAGCTGTTGCTGCTCCCCCCCACACACACACTTTATTATCCTCCCTCCACCTGCTTCACTGTCCCCTAGGTTAAATAAAGGAAAATTGCAGCACAAAGGTATTCCAAAATTTCAATTCAGTTGACTCTCAAGAATGTGCCGTTTGATTTTGTATCAAAGTGATGTTACAAGGTATCTGGGTGATAGAAGAAAGCATGATTTAGCTTTTAGCTACTTTTTCAGTTCTACATTGACAATGTATGACTATTACTACATTTCCTCTTGTGACAATATGTTGTTTTCAGTCAGTTGTGAGGGTCATGTAGCACACAGTGGTTAAAAAAAAAAAGAAGCATCTGTGCATTCTGACATCTTTACATTTTTATTTTAAAACAAAAAATTTCATATTGAGTAACACCTACTATTAAACAGAAAGATGCATTAATTAAATGCCTTGTCGTAACTGTTATAAGCTCTGTTAGAAAAATAAACATTTCACAACAAACTACAGTGTCAGGTTTTTAATAAATACATAAAACAAGTTAGTAGTCGATCAGAATTATATGAACAAGTTCATAGTATATTATGTGAAATTATATTCTGCAATCTTACATGTCATTTAAGGCAATTTAATTTTAAGTCTAATTCAAAGCCAGAAATAATAAGAAATGTATTTAATGAAAAGTTGTTTCTTAGGGCTATTTGATATTCAAATGTTTTAAATTAAAATATTCATTCTGTATTAAATTTCTGTTTTAAAAGACTGCTTGTTCAGTGAAACAAAACAAGTTTATATTACTGATAACTTAAAAACTTCTCTAAAATTTTTTCAGGTTAAGTTAAAAAACTTAACAAAGTATCTGGTAATGTAAAGTAGTTTTAAAGTTATGTCAAATATACACAAAGTGAATTTCTTTCTTAATGTGTGCGAATTTATTTTTATAATTTAGAATTAAAACATTTTATACTTGACATTCTTAACGAAGTCTATGTATCATACCTGTCATTGTGTTGGATTCTTTTCAAAATCATATTTATCTGTGTGACAGGATAAATTAGTAAATGTTGTTTACAGAGTTGATGTATTTTCCATTCTTTATGACTGCAGTGGTTTTTTTTTTAATATATATTTTTGGGTTAAATAATTTTTAACTGAAGTAGGTTATATAGGCTAGAAACCTGATTAACAGTTAGCTTACAAAGATAAATTTTATACAGAAAAATATTTCAGGTAGATTAAAGAATAGTGTTATTACTCTCAGGTATTTCATTAACAGCTGCCCGGATAACTGAATAATTATTTCATATAATTCCAATAATTTAGATATGTAGGTTTTAAACAGGCATTGTATCTGCTTTAAGGTAAGCTTATCAGAGCCCAGATTTAAAAAAAAAAAAAAGAACAGAATGAATGATAAAGAATAAAAGAATGTAGGAGGACTCAAAGGGAAAGTTTTCTCCACAGCACTGATAGTTTGAATCATATTTTCTCTCCTCATTGACATAAGACATACAAGATACTACAAAATCTAATTATGATGGTCATGTAATATTTTCCAGTTAATTCTGTTGGAAATAGATTATGAAAAGAATAGATAGAATAAAAATTTGTCAACAAAACTGAGAAAAACCTACTCTCTTTTAAACCAAGGTAGGGTTTGCTGAAATTGCAGCCAATAGCATAAAATATAAACAGGAGACTGTAAGAGCTTTTTATAACCAAAAGGTCTGCAGAATCTGAGCACATAATCAGAAAGGCTCTGTGTGAGTTGTGTATGATTCAGCTGTAGACAAAAATTGATTTCACATGTTTTCATAAATGGATCCTTAAATATTTATAAGAAGAGCACTGCCCTTATATTCATGAGCATTTAGTTAAAGATTAATTAATATAATATGGAAGCACAGCTTTAAACATTGCATCTAAGATGCCAACAATTGCAAGTGACATCACAGCTTCAGAGGTGTTAAATTAAAAAGTTGATATCTTAGAATAAATGAAATATCAGTATGTATAATCAGTTACACATAATGAATTTGCCATAGAGGAATTATAAAAGGAAAGGAGTGGCCTGAAAGAACACTACCTCTGTATGAAAATATATCTCAGTATGTATTGTATGAAATAGAGTTCTTAAGGTTTGTGTTTAAGTAAGAACAGTCATAAATTAAATTTAAGAATAAATAAAACAATACAATATGCACATGATTGAACTTCCAAGTATATCTCACTTGATACTTTCATGAAAATAAGTAGCTCTCAAATCCTTTAAAACTGAAAGTTCAAATAGTTGTGAACATTTTAAGTTCTTCATTTTTAATGGATCCAACTTTGTTCAGGAGCATAATTTAAATGAGTTTTAAGAACATTGAGAAATTTGGAAATGAACTTCATTATATTATTACATTTCTTTTCTTTTTTCCACAATTAGACTTACTGAGCAAGAAGCTTTGGAGCAACCTCTTAGGAAGAGTTAGTGGATAAAACAGAGGAGTAATGAAAGGAAGGAAAAGCTATTGAGTCTAATCTGTTCTACCAGGGGAATATAATTCTATGGAGAAAAATTTTTATAGTCCCTCATAGTCACATTTCAATGTGTCTCATGATGCCTGCTGTCATGTCTTCATGGAGATTAAATATATATTTAAAAAAATTGGAAATTTATGCTTTAGTAAAGTATTGCATCTAATGTACCCCCTAATTTTCATTCTGAAAATTTTGCCTCTAGAGAAATCTATTCTGTTTAACCTTAGTTTTTTTTTTTTTTTTAAATTATGAACAAAAGCTAAATTGAACATTAAGGACTAATTATGAGATTTTAAAATAAAATTTTCTTGTAGAGAATGCCTATGGCTTAATAAATATTAATAAATTTTAGAAAAGATACGAAATGCTTGTAAATCCATACACACTGCAGTATAAAGATATCCCCAGAGAAATAAAATGTATATAGTTATATTGTAGTGTATCATGGTACATTTCTAAATCATTACATACTTTAGGGCATAGAAATGCTGTCGTACCAAAAGTGTTCAAGTTCTTAATTTTGTTAAGCATTTACTTGTGTTTAGTATCAGTGAATATCAAAAGGCTCCTGTGGTCATGTTAGTTGAAAATATGCTCTATATACATAAATTATTTAATCTAAGAATACCCTGTTTTCCCTTACCTTTTAATTAATTCTATAGTCAAATATTAGTTTTCTTCTCACAAACCATTATACAGGAAAATATCAATTATTCAAGTAAATATAAGCTCTAAAACCTTTAAGGATTACATCTTTAAGTAAAAAAAAAAAAAATAAAGCACAAGGCGTCACAATCATCTAGTATTGAACTCCCTAACAGGAAGTCTGTCCCTTCCTATGATAATAATAACAGCCTTGGTCCATTTTAAATTAGTGCAAACTAATGAACATGTAAAAATATATACCCCTGATTTTTAAGGGTTTCATTTTATTATGCTTTTGTGGATAATTAAATCTACATGGAAACTAGTTTTTGAACATCATTATGTTCATTTTTAAATTGTCTGCATTTTAATGAGTGGATATTTTCCCTTTTCCCTTTTAGGGGACTGTCAGGTATCCATTACTTTTCTTTTTCAAAAGGATACTGGGTGTGACAGGCTACAAAATACGATTTTACATTATCCTTGGTGATCTAAACTCAATCAGGTGAGTCACATTACTGAATTATGGCAATGTACCCAGTCGCTCATTTGTGGAAGGGAATACAGTTCAATTTAGTGTCATAACTTCTTCACTGTAGATGATGGGTAATGGAGCTGCTGTGTTTGAAAGACATTTTAAATAAATTTCTTTGTTAAAATAGGCAAAGCTCTGTATAGCACACAGATTTTTGAATCAGATGAATGAGTCTGTAGGGATATGGAAATTGTGAAGAAGTTTCCATTGGGGAAGATAAAAGTTTGTAGCCTCTCTATTAAGTTGTCAGGCTGAGCACTGCACAATGCCTGAGAACACTGTTCACTCTGGATATGGCATGAATGAATTCCCCTGTAGTTGGGCCCTGCTGCAGTCTCTTAGAAGCTGATTAATAGGAAAGGCTGGAAGCCAGTCATGGGCAATTTGTTTGAATTATGTTCTGTTTTACTTCAGAATATTTTCATGTCCATATACTTAAGACTTCAGTAAATCACATTTAAAAATACTCGCCAATTGAATATTTTCAAGATTCAGGAGGTAGCGTGATACTGTACAATTGACACTGGCCTGGCAATAAATTCTTTTCAGATGCTGCCACTTAATCTCTTGGGTGGTTTTTGAGAAATCATTTAGAAGTTCTGAGTATTAATCTCCTTACTAACTAAAGGGATGAATTAGCTAATTACTACAATATTATCTGTCCTCCCCTAATTGTATACTTTTTTGAATTCTGATGAGGGCACTGATGTGATTCAGGAAGAATGTCATGTCCTTAGGCTTCACTGAAGAGCAAAAATAATAGATTTGAATTTGAAAAAGACTAATATTACTGAGTAGATGTCTGAGAAAATAGACTCAAAAGTGTGGCATTTTGCTTGAGGCAGTTTCTATGTATCTTGTGAATTTCAACCTGATGATTAAGCAAATGAAATTGTGAAACAATCCATCCAGTTTACCAGGTAAGAAGATACAAAAAAACTCCATATCTGCAAACAAAGAAGCTGTTCAGATTTTGATGTTAATTTACAGTGTCCCTTATTAAACATTAAGCTTTTAACACCAGTATTCTAATAAAGTGACATTGTATTAATTTCATATGGCAGTAGTAACTTAGCACTTATTTAATCCAGTCATCTGTGACATATATAAATTTATCCTGTAAGAAAGAAAAACAAAACATATAGACAAAGAGGAGAAAATGTTGGACTTAGTATCCATCTTGTAAAAAGTAGAAATCATAAATACACATGCATAAAACTGTCCTTCAAGAATTAATGATCTGTCTTGAACAGTTAATGTTCACCTCTTGAAAAAATGAAACAGTAACCATTTATTCACTTAGCTGTTCTTATCTACTCACTGCCAATTTTTGATGTACTTGGCAACATTAGTATATATGCCTGATTATTATTATTATTATTTTTTCATCTGCATGTTCAGGATTTCATCTGCAGGAATTACTGTACCCTTGTAGTGACAAATGCCAAAATTATCACAGCATTGTCTCTCTCTGGGAAGTGTAGGAATGGCAGGTACCTGTAAAGTGTAATCAGTGCTCTTCAGATGAACTACATTCTATGCTGATCTAAATAAGTTATATATTACAGTAAAGTGCTACAATGACACACTAGTCTCAAACAGTAGTAAGACACATTTTTCTCTGAAAAATTCAGCAGCGATGTGAGTCACATGGTGATGAGGATGTTTGTCAGTCTTCATTGGACATCCAGCAACCAACATTATCTAGAGCAACTTGTCGCCTCCTGTGACTTCTAAAATTATAATTTTAGGAGCAATTATTAAAAATCCAGTTTGCCATAAAGTACTTTAGAAAAATCTTTTCAGAAGTTGCACCTGAAAGTTTCATGAGCATTTAATTTGCTGATATCCATTTTTATTTCTTCAGGCTTCTCCCGTCGGTAAGTTACTGCTCTTGTACAAACACTTTGCAGAATCAGCTTGTCCTTGATGGAGAAGAAATATTATTATTATTAAGTAAGGGACTAAATATTGGAAGTAGACAATAACAAATTGATGATAGCTCTTTTTTTATAAATCACTGACCTTTTTTGAAGTTGATACTCTGTAATCTGCGGAGGACTTAATTTTATTACTATTCCATTGTAGTATCACCTGTCTAATGATAAGGACTTTAAGCAACCCAATCAAGAATGTAATTATGAAGATGATGAAAAATATTCTCAAGTAGCTCGGACTAGAGAAACATTCTGTAGTGAAGCAAATAAATGAAAGAATTAAAGAGCTGGAATTCATAAATCAAATGATTCTAACAAGTAAACAATGCTCATCATCTATTTAATGGGACCAGAGATATTTGCAAATCTCTATTTTCGAAACAAGGACTGCAGTTACTTTTGAGTCAAAAAGAAAACTCAATTTTTATTACAAATTTATTAAAGTATTTCCAACAGAAAACTCTTGTTTGGAGAATAGCCAAAATTAAGATATTCAATAAGATTATTTCTTTGCAGCTTGATTCTTTAATTGTATTAACTGGAATATGTCCAAATCCCATAACTAAAAATAATTTTATCCATGATGGAGAGGACAGTTTTGTGGTACATGTTGTTGATCATTGAGTGGAAAATAGGACTCAAAAATTATTTAACAGCTCTGGGCTTTAGTATATGTTGCTCTTGTTATTCTTGCACCCCAGTAATGGAAAATAAAGTAAACATCCGTGGAAGCTAAAATCGGTACTATTCTAATAGATGGATAAATATTTCCTTGGAAATAGCCATGTAAGTTTTTATTATAATTGCAAAAGCCTTCTCAGGAAATAGGCATGTGCAATCTGGGACAATATACAAATCTCTTTCCTTGGTTTTTATTAATTTATTTTTTACTTGTGTGTTAACCAAATCTGTCTTAACTTTCCCTCTAAAAAGTCCTCTATGTATTTTTTCAAGAATAAGCAATTACTAGTTGGAAAAGGAAATGCTGTGGTAAGAGGAGGGACATGCTAGGTCTCTTTTAGCCCAAGAATTTTGGCAAACTCTACTTGGAAAATGTGCAGGTTCTGTGTTTGTCAGAGACATAACACTAATTTAGGAGAAACGTGGTTGCACAAGATGCAGGTGTTCCATAGAACTCACCAGTTGCCCCAGACTCACAAAATTACTTCCTGGTCCAAAGAAGTATGTGTTTTCCACCCATTCTCCAAACTTTGGAGGACTTCACCTAAATACCTCATGGTCCCTCTGAGAGGATCTTTCAGGAAGGGAGTTGCTGAGAACAAATCACACAATCACAGGTGACCTGCGCTAATTTCCCAGGAAGAACCAAGAATGCTCTTGAATAAGCCAAGAACACAATGACAAAGGCAAAGGCATTCACCATGTAAAAAGACATAATAGAGCCCAGTTTTCTTTTGGCTAATGTTATGGTTCCTTGAGAGAAAGCCTAATGGGATGCCCAAGGGATTACTAACTAGAATAGAAACACTAAACACAAATGCAAATATGCCTGATTTACAGCCCTAACACACAGAGAGAATCCAAGATGCTTTCTTCAAAGGTAGTGTCCTTGCAGTCTTCTACAGTGACCTTCAGGTGACATGTTTGCCTTCCATCATGATAGGCCATTATTTCCCTTGGCTAACTAGGATCTACTCAGCAGCTTAGGCAGATCCTCAAAGGAGGCACGTGGCTTGATCACATTTCCTGGCTTCTCTCTTAATAGGAGCTTAGCCAGAACGACCAAAAGAACACCCTTTAAGTGTGATTGAGTGGATAGATAATAGAGGTGGCTACCAAATGCCTTTTCCTTCTCCTTGCAAAATAGTTGTGAAGAGGAGGGGAGCCCCCTAGCTACCAATACATTTAAAAAATGTCTCTTATGGGTAAGGGATAGACATTTTCAGGGCTCCGATCTACGTGCATTTTAAAATGTAGTTCTTGAGAGTCATACATTTCTCTCTGGCCACGATCTTTCTTAGTTTAGGTCAAGCAAGGGCTTTTCCTGAGGAGCTTTAAGGGAATACTTTTTGTAACCACACTTAGGTCAGAGTAGATTTGTTTACTTAGCATAATAAATGGCATGTTGACAGTAAAGACTTTATTTATTAGAAAAGGCCCTTGGATTTCTGGAGTGATTGCTGCAGCCCCAGCTGGCAGCACATGGGTTCTTTTCAGAGCCAAATTTGTTTTGGGCTGAAATCAGTATGGATGCAAAGGAAAAAGAAAATGAAACCCAGGAGAAAATTTATTCTTCTGTGCAATCTTGCTAAGTGCTAGAATTACTCCTACAGGTTAGGGGAGAAACTAGAAATAACAGTAGAAGTTGGAATGTTTTCAATGAAGACATAATTCCAAGGTTCATTTCTAATTCATGTCGTTAACATTATACCTGAGCAAAATGGGGTGCTGGAATTTGGGGTGCTAATGAACTTTTGTCTGGAAAAAAAAGGCTTTTGAGTGCAGCTTTCATTTGTTTCTCCCATTTATGTAACCCTTTATCTACTTTTCAATATTCACTGGCTCATTTAATCTCACACAACTCTTTGAAGTTGGTAGAGGAAATGGAGACTTAGGGAAATTTTGTAAGAGGACTAATAATATGAACGGGTATGTATTAAGCTTATTTCACCAGTGTAAAAGTTCCATATCCTTCCTATTGTGCCACTTTCATAATCATTCACCCTGGATTATATTTATATCAGAATGAAAACAATCAGGAGAAAGTGAAATTTTAAAGTTATGTATTTTGCAAAAGCAACTTACTGCTACTTAGGATTTTTTGGTTTTACCTCGAACATGGAAGTAAGTGTGGGTTTGACATGAGGAAGATCATAACTGGAAGCAAATTTGAATTACAAAGGATAATTATGGTTCACCTCTTGCCTCTAAGAAAGACCCATTCTTGATTCATGAAGGTCTCTATAGGAAATATGTTTGACATATTTCCATAAAGGTATACAACATGGAAATTTAGCTGGATAATTGAAATGGGAGACCTAATAATTCAGCCAAGTAGTGGTAAACACGCTTAGCTGATTTTATAGAGTACCATTTCAAAGAGATTGAAAACACTGAAGTAGCTAGTTATTTCTTTAGGATATTAATTTGTAAACCATTTGGGGGAACATGAGCCTCAGCAAATCCTCTTCAGTGCCTTTCTAATTAAGCTTTTGTTTACCTGATGTTTGGTGCACATATTGCTGTTCCATGAGAGCACATGAGGTTTTGCACTGATCAAGTATAGCTTGAGACAGATTATGAAGATGAAGGCATTGCACACAATTCCTGTAAGGGGAAACAGAAACAAAAGCATTTATTCTCTATAAAGTCTATAGGCTGTAATATTCTGCAAGAATAAAATAAAATAGAGTACTGCACTAGGAAAGCAGTCCTATAAAACTAGAAAAGAAAGGTTACTTACTTGTAACCTTGGGTGAATTTCATACCATAGCAAAATTATTTTCTAATGAATTAAAATGTTTTAATGTATAAAATAAAATAATGAATTTTCTGTACTCAGAAAAAATCTCTAGGGAATGACTAAGATAGTCTCACCACAGACATACCAAAGTATAGGCATTGTATAAGATAACTATTTTGACACAACTAGAAAAATTTACAAATAAATACTTTTCAAAATTTGGTTGAGTTAATTACAAATAATCCCATCATGATGTTTAAGTACTACATTTCCAGGTAAGTTACATAAATTACTATGCAGAATTAAATTTATTTATTTGAAATTACCAATCTGAGGGAGTGAATGTATTAAAATTTGAAATCAAGTAAATTAGACAGTAGAATGTTTTACTGATTTTTATAAAATTGTGGTCTTTGAATTGGTCTCAAATTACTACTGGAAAATTAATTATTGGCATGAAATAATGATACCTTCATTTAACATTTATTTACTCTTATTATTCATCACATTTTTACAGTTCTTCATAGCCACCATTGGTCTTTATTGTTGAAATAATTAAAATAAATATCTGCTAACATTTATTCTATGATTACTATGCACCAAATACAAATGTATGTAGTGTGTTTTTACATGAATGCTCTAATTTACTTCTTTAGCAGAATTATAGCAAGGTGTTGCTGTTATCCTCACTTTCATAATAAAGAAACTAAGGCATAGAGAATTTCAGTAACTTACTCTGGATTGAAAAGCTAATTAATATTACAATGGGAAGCATGCAAATCCTAAATAATCACATGATATACCTAAAATTTACATAATGTTATATCTCAATAAAGCTGGAAAAAGTACCCAATGAACCCTCACAAATACTAAATAGTATTCTTTAAAAAAAAAAAAACCTATTTCAAAGAAGCGAAAGTAGTGAATACCTAGATAAATTCTGATGCTCCCACAACTATCTATTGGCCAAAGAGCTAAACATTCCCTCCAATTATATTTTAGAACAATGATAACAGTTTACCTGGAAAGATACAGCAACTGCTAATTCTAAGAAATGTAGGGGGAAAAAGACAAATACAGCAATAACTAAGAACTGCTTTGTTTGTTCTGAGTCAGAAAGCACATACCAGTTTTCACTGCAGGCTGTGTGACATGTAGGGCAGTGTTCACAGAAGCGGCCAATGCTCCCAGGCTCAGTGCACTCACACCGGCCACATACACACATGCCTCTTCCACTGCACACTTGGCCCTTTGCATTGATACAGTGCTGGGCTGATGCTGTTGGACATTGGCACCGATCCCCTTCCCAGCCACTGAAACACTGGCACCTGCCCGCTTCACACTCTCCGTGTCCTGTAACAAAACACTCCAGGGCCTAAGTTATTAGGAACCCTGACTTTGTGAAGTGTTTGCAAACATGGATTCCCCTCCCATTTCCACAGAAACACACTGACAGTCAAGTGAATGGAAACAACATCATTTTCTATTTGTCTGACATAAGCAATAACAGGATTTGGAGTGGCTATTTTCAAAGCTGTTCTATGGTAGATAATCTTCCCAATGCTAATCTATTGTGCTGACATTTGTGAAGTTAAGCCCTGCTGAGTGACTGCCTGACTACTTGAAGGTCACTGTACATTCAGTTTTAAATTAAAAAACACAAATATAACGAAGTGACAAAGATTGAAGTAATGTTAATTCTCTGACTTGAAATCCAAAAGATGGGTATTTGATTAATAGCTCCCTTAATTTCTTTTCTGAATTTCTTGTTAGTGCTTAGACCTGGATAACTTTGTCTATGAGGCATACCCTACTGGTGTTCTGGGCCTAGCAGTTTTCTTTGTGCAAGTGCCATGTTTAAAAACAAAATCTCTGGGGAAGTAGAACTAATCCTTTCACATCCTCAGGACATTACCTAGCAGGTTTAGGGGCCAGGCCTAAATTATGTGTGAGCAGTTAGTAGATAAGTGAAAAAGACAGCAAGGCAGTGTATGTGTGTTGGGATTGGAACATTTATATAGAAAAATATGTTGAGGAACAACACTGATTATTTATATTTAAATGGATTTAATACCAAGGGAAGTATCCAAAACCTAGAAAATTCCAAGAGGTGGCATATTTTAAAGGGTTATATAGCATTCTTTATTTGGCTACATGCCTCCCTCCCTCTTTTCTCTCCCTCCCTTTCTCCCTTCTTGTCTTCCTCCTTTTATTGCTGAGCACCTCACAGGGTAACTGTTACGTAGAATGTTAAATCAGCTCAATTTACTGAATTAGAACCAATGAGCTCCAGGCCAAACAAATGCTTTCCAGACCCTGGTTCCCATATGCAGGCTGCGTGCCTAATCCTAGCCAGTCAACCTATGCATGTTTTTATTCCCCAAAGAGACTAGTGAAGAAATTGCTTGTCAGCCTACAGTTTTCACTTACATACACAAATAATTCAAAGCATATTCTCAACTGCCTGTGGGTCAGTAGTATCATAGTCATATAGAAGGGTTAGTACATTGATTTTTGATATTTCATCATAAACAGAGCTTGGAATTCTCAATGTATTTCAAATGTATTTAAGTCAATCTATTTAACTTCTTTGAGAGGTTAACAAATGTGAGAAATGATCTTAGAATTCTTTCTCTTCCCTGTCCTAAACAGGATTAGTTCTGAAAGATAGCAGACAATGGCTGGTTTGTTATACAGTTATTTATGATCTGTTATACCCATGATACCAGGTACAGCTGAATAAATGTAATATGAAATATTCTATGTATATAATAGAATAAAATGACAATTTGCCATCACACATCTAGGTGATATGGGTCAAATTTTTAGCTTATATAAGAATATTTATATGCATATAGGTTTGTTAATTTCCATATGCTTATGACAATGTAATATTTCAGCTCATCAATAATTCAATTTATATTTACATACTAAAATGAAAACACTAACACTAAGATAGTTATTTTCTTAATAAGTAGATTTAGTATACCTATTGTCACAGAAAAATTAATTCATTAAAAAACACATATTAACTTTGAAATGTTTCATAGATTTTCTGGAATCTAACCTCTAGATGGCAGTAAACTGAATTAATCAAAAAGTACACTACTTTTGATACTTTTGTTTTATATCATTTTTAATATTTGGCCTGTGTGTGGCCTATAGAACTCACATGGATTATTTATAAAACCAACATTTTCTTTGACATTTCTATTGCTGGTGGTGTTCCAAAACTAGACTGGAGAGTTTTAAATTGCTACTAACTTATACTATCATCTATAATAATGCATTAATAATTTTTCAGTGAATGAAAAGTATATTTTGATAGTTCACTGTCCTCTGAGAAAGCTAACGGGTTGACCAGTTATGAGGCTGCATCAGATCTTTCTAGAAGAAACCTGTCGGACATCATCAGTACTTTTTCTTTTCTGGTATAAATATTTCTGAGGTCAAGGAAAACTTGAGAATAACAATTAAGTTTTGGTTTTTACTTTTAAACATTCCTCTACAAAGTAATATATATATATATATACACACACACACACACACACACACATATGTATTTATAAATCATGTAATATAAATCTTGCCATGTCCTATTTTCACAGGCTTTCAAACTCTGGATATTAAAAATTCAGCTTCAAGTTTGATAGTTTTCAAGATGTGATTTCAAGATATGTTCACATATAAGGTAGTTTATCCTCATCATTATTAAACTGCATGTATATATTTATACTTACCAGCACACAGATTTCCATGATGATATGGACAAGAAAAGTCATCCTTTTCACAGTATTTTCCATACACTTTTCCAAATTTAGTTTTGTGACATAAACATTTCCCACAAATACAAACTCCTCGACTACTGCAAACAGGTTGATCCTTGTGTGATTTGCAACTCTCATAAAGGAACTGATCTTCATCAAAATGACATTTATTTTCATCACATTGGAAACACTTGGCATCTAGAATAGTTTCATCTACACACTTTCTTTTAGGGTCTCTGCTGTTATCACACCGACAGCTGCAGTTTCTGTGTATATGAATTCTGGTGGTTTCATTGAAACCAATAGGCTTGATTATTGCATAGCTTTTTCCTCCTGTGACATCACATCTTTTCATTGTAACTGTTACGTTGAAAAGAACCTAAATTGGGGAGGGGAGATATTGATTATTTTGTTACCAGTATTATATCTGTTAATGATATTTTGAATCAGTAATATACCATGTTATAGAAATTATTTATAAATAACACATACACTTTCTATATGTGAATTTATTATTAAAACTATATGTGAATTATTATATATGTGAATTAAAATGTCATTTATTTTCTATCCAGTGAACTAACGATGCAATAATTGATAATTGCCTGTATTGAAACATTAAATAGACATGTGTGCAAGCCTCTTTGAAATGTCTACTCCACTTCCCAGTGATTAATTTATGTTCTCAACTGATTTCTTAGCAAACTTGAAAGAGGAGACCATTTTCTGGATTCAATCTTCAAAATGCGGGATGACTGAATATTTGGCACTAAAAATAGATCGAGTGAACCAAAGGGTTTCTGCTCTACTGATTTTAAACCCTGAGATTGGATGTTCAAATGAACAATTTTAATTTTATTCCAATTTTCTAGGGGCCCAAGTAAAGTTTCAAAGTTTTAGCTCTTATATATGATGTTAACAGAGGAAACTGTGAGGCTTTCTCTGTCACAAAAGGGGAGATTTAGGGTTCTCACTCTCATCTCTTCAGACTTTATTACAAAACCATACATTTGTCTCAGTGGAGATTAATAGCAGAACTAAGGATCTGGACTGGCAGGTCTTGAATTTCCTCTTGAAATGACAGTTTCTTTCTCCTGCCTGGATTTTTGGTTCAGATGGTTATAAACAGAAATGCATGTGCATTTTTCATCTATACAGAGGTATTACAATTTATATATATATATATATATATATATATTAGATTTATATATATATATATAAATCCTAAGCAAAAATGTCTTGTACAAATATACACACATTCATAATTATATGGAAGGTATAAATTTAGGCTTACATATAATATATATTATAAATGAATCAGTCTCATGATACTAAAATCAGTGCAAAGGGTGTACTTGAAATGTTTTTTGTCCTTAATGTTAAGGCCTAACAGATGTGTAGCATAATATGGTCACTGCCAGTATTAATAGGAAAACAAAACTTGGAGTTTGTATAGTTAAAATGTCTTATGACTATTCTTGAGGGTCAAACTATTTTTATTTTATTTTATTTTTTATTGCTTTATATATTTTATTTTATTTTTTATATTATTTTTAAAATTTTTTTACATCACTGTTCATTTTTAAACAATATTTGTTTTACCCCACCCCCTCAGGTGTAGTCCCCATAGAGTTTCCTTTACCAATGCATCCATGCACCATCACCTCAGTCCCCTGTGCTCCTCCCTCCCTCCGTCTGATCCCTCTCCCTCCTCCTCCCCTGCAGTAGAGAGTCAAACTGTTTATACTACTTGCTTGAAAGTGAGGGGAAGAAAGGGATGTAGAACAAAATAAAAAAACCAAAAATTTTAATAAGTAAACCATTTTCCAAAATTGATTTTTAAATTAAAGAACCTCCTCTAAAGGGGTAACCCTTTGTCAGAAAGTAATTTAGTAATCCTTTGTTAGTACAAAGTTTTCTCCATATTTGCTGGAAATAAAATATGCATTTTGTAAACAGGTATATAATGTCTTTTAAATAAATCCAAGGAACAATTTTGGGGGAGCCCAAATAATTAGAAACTAGCAAGGTTAATTTCAAATATATAGCTTGTTAGAGCAACTATACTGCCTGCATAATGTAAACTTCCCAAGGGGGGGAAATACATTTTAACTAAAGAGAAAGGAAGATTTTGTTGTTTTCACTCTTAGAATGTAAAGACCTATTATCTCTTTCAATAACTCCTTTTTTCTCTCCAGACTGACATTAAAATATCATAGAACTTTACACTTGATCTTAGCCAAAAGGCCGAGAAGCGATAAAATATCATAGAACTTTAGAGATGAAAGGAAGAGGGATTAGAAACCTGCTAGTCCAAGCCATTCATTTAAAAATGATGAGGCAACTGCTGCCGCCTCAAGAGGTAAATGACTCACTGAAAATCACTTCATCCAACAAGAATTCCCTTTAAAAACATGCTTCTACCTATTCACTCCTTGTGCAGACCCTGGGAGAATCCCTGTTTCCTGATGCTGTTATAATCTGGGCCTAACATTTTACGTCTCATCTCTTTTAAATTAAATAACATCTTTTTATTGTTCTTAACAAATTTCCCTTCCTCCTCCTAGATCATTATGAAAGTATTGGGACAATAATAAAGTGAAAGATTTTGGAATCCTTAGAATTTATCAACTGTGCCGTGACCCCCATTCTCTTCTGTGGCTTGTTTACTCAATTTCACATTTTCTCTGAGAATTTTCAGATTTAAAACCAAAAAGACACTCCCTATTTGAGGAAATGCTATTCTTAAAGTGTACTGGCTATGACATCTAAATTTAAAGTTATTACTGTTAAGTGAGCATTTAATGTAATGCATATTTGTTTACATTACTTGAAAGTTTGCAGTCAATTGAGTTAAAACAAGTAGGAACTTTGAGAAGAAACAATGAAAATTACTTTGAAATGCAAGTAAGAAAATTACTTTGAAGTGCAAGTACTTTGGTGTCAGTTGCAAATAAAGTTTTTCAAAATGGTTTCAGTTTTCTCTGAGAAAACGTGCCAAATAACTTAGATATCCAAATGGGAAAAATGCATGTCCACATACCTCGTCATCGCTTGTCACATTTCGACATCCATCTGTGCCTGGTTTTCTGGCCCCATCTGGACAGATTGCAGTAATGTTAAAATAGACACCTTTTACCTCGTTTTCCACCTGAACTTTCACTTCTGAAATGAGTTTCTGCAGAGACATCGTTTTTTAAATTACATGCTATGACATTTTCAAATGTAAGCAACTGAACAGAGTCAAGTTTATTAAATGATTCTAGGGTTAATTTTTAATGAACTCAATCTGTCTCCATAAAAGAATGAATAAAAAAGTTTTTACATAACGACCCAATTATATTTGAAAAACATAAGAAATAATGGATGACACTATCTGCATTTACATTATTTTATTTTTTCATAAATTTCCAAAATAGTGCATTTTGATCACATCAAAGAAATTTATATCACTCATTCTGTGTTGTAAAAATTATCATTTAAATAATATAAAATATATATGTATATATATTTTTTTTTTGCGGGACCCTCACCGGCGACCCGGGAATGAACCGGCGCTGCAGAGGCTGCGGGCAGCCTCGCAGCCCAGCGCTCAACCGCTGCGCCACCAGGGGAGACCCAATAATACTTACATTTTAATATAAAATTTAAATAAAACATTATGGACACATATCATTATAGATGGTAAATCTTGGCAGCTTAAAATCTAGAACATGCTTCTGTCATTTGCAGTGTTTAAGAAACATTTCAATTTTAAACACTTTGAACTATTATGTATGCTAAAATATCTTATTGGTACAGAACTGAAAGGTAAACTTTGGTGAACTGATTTCTATTCTGCGGGCGTAAAAATTACCTACAGATTATGGTCCTGTCATTCCCTTCAAATGCCTTAGGATTTTTGCCCTGCCGTGCTTGTGTCAATCAAATTTATTTCAATCCTTAGGACCAAAATAGGGCACCTACTGCGAAGGCAATCATTCACTCATTTATTCATCCATTTATAGAGTCATTCAGAAAACATCTAAGTATTGCCTAGCATGTATCAAGCACACACTAATTTTGCCATCACAACCTCTGAGTCCAAAAGATCTAGCTATCTTATAAATATGTACTGTAGATCTGTGTGTATTTTGTTCCATAAAACTGAGAGTCCACCACATGCAAAAAATCCTTAGCTTATACTTGTAAATAAAAGCAAAGGGAAAACATGACCTATGTGCTTAAAGAAAGAGTGAGTACCAGAGTATGAAGAAAAAAAAAATTCCAAGGGCTTCTAATTCTTTACCTGAGTAATTTTTCTTCTTATAATCTATAAAGACATGTGTGCTGACTGATCAATAATTGATCATGGAATTCTGGTAGTAAATATTCAGAAGATACTCAAATTACTGAATTATATTTGGATTTGGTAAGACAAGGCAAATCATATTTTTATCTCCTAGAGAGCACATATACTATAACCACATAACTGAATTCTTTTGGCAAACCAGTAGAAAGTTCTAATGTTAAATGGTATTGATATGATGATGGTTTCATAGATTAGAAGGAAATTCGTAATGTAATGAGCGTTCTCAGTTTGCCCCTCTGAAATTCTGCTTCTCTTAAAACCTTAAGTTAGTTACTCTGGTATTTTTAAAGCAGGGTGTGAAGACAGTTCCCTAAAGTTTTACTCATTTTGGGGATTGAGAAAATAATTTCCAGATATAATATTTAAGAATAGAATTGGACTTTAAGTGAAGTTAATGTAGCATATACACATGAGTTTTAATGATGTATAACTTAAAGTTATATAATGTTATAAAGCAATGTTACTTCAATAAACAAAATGAAATTTCAAAAGAATTTTGAGAATAGAGACATATATAAAATAACAGAATTCTAAACTGAGGAGATTAAATTAGCCAACATAAGTTTTTGTTAGATTCACTAATATTTTCCATTTTTTATGGTTAATCAGAACCCCAGTGACCTAAGACTTCACATACTTATCCTAGGCAAATGAAGAACATGAAACCACATACTGCCACTTCTCTTTCCATTGATGTAGTTCAACACACAGGTCACTTTGTCAATTTATATTCCTTGTTTGGAGTAATAAATGGGTTCATACTATACATATTAGGGTGACTTCCTAATACTGTAAGTTCATTCCTTATTTTGATTATTCACTAATGAGAATTGATTGTACATACATTTGACTTTTCTTTGTAACAGTGAGAAAGAATATAATTAAATATGTTCTTCCTTATTTCATCCATTGTCCTTTTCAGATAGAGAACAATTCCTTGGGGGAAAAAATCTTGCAAGACTTACTTTGCATGGAGAAAATGAAAAGAGAAGCCTGAGATTTTTCAGTATTTGGGGTACTATTATTCAACTCCACTGTGTCAGAAAAGGAATGAGAGAATTTTGGGAAGTGAAACTTTATCAACAGCCCATAAATTCAAGGTACAACAGAGCATATCTTTGGACACCATAGTTAAAAAAAAAAATAAAGGAAAAATAGGTGATATATCACAGGAGGAAGCACCTGGGGCATGAAGTTAAGGAAACCTTGGTTTCTTCCTTGGTCTCATCTGCTTGTTAGCTATTGAACCTTTGGTTTATTTGCTTAGCCTCTCTGAGCTTCTACAATACACTGGGGGTACTGACATCAGTCTTACATGTCAGCTATTAATGAGATCATGTATGAAAAGTGTTTTTGAATGATATTAAAGTAACAGTCACTGTTATTACAACAGAGATTATTCTATGCAGGAATGACCTATGTTGAGAGAGCAGATGTTTCTTTAAATCTTTGTATTTAGCATTCATTCTTCCCAGACTGGCGACAGCATACACTTGTCAACTTGGTAAATAGTATCTTTTATGGTGTATCTTGCTAGTTTGGTAATCAAGCTAATTTGGTAATTTTGCTAAGGTAATTTACTCAGTGAGTTATTTATCTAGGATGTCCAACAGTGTCCTTTTGATGATTTCTATATCCCAGATAGTTCATTTTCCCTGACAGGTTGCTGTTTTAAATAACAATGTGGATTTCTTACTTTATCTTACCACAAAGGATATTATGAACTTCTTGGTAACAAAGTAAATGCTATATCTGTAATTTGGTGACTCACTGAACATTTCTTTGGGAGGAAATTTAGATAGTGTCTAGCCCAACCTGAGTTTACTCTCGATGAGACCAAAGAGGTCCAGAAAGCTGAGTGACTTTTCCAGGGTGTCATGACTTGTCATTGTTGGATCCAGAGCTAACATCCAGGTTTCTAATTCCTAAACTAATGTTCATTTCCAGTTCTTTCAAGATGATATGACACTGGTTTGTACTTTGTCATAGAAGTTGGCATTAAAAGTATATTTGAAAAGTTGTGTATAATATACATACCTGATAGGCTTCTACTACTAAATTATTGAGGTTTGCAGCCTTTGACTCTATTTCACCAGCAATAGTGCCAGGCAATAGCGGCAGAAGGTCCTAGAAAACACACCAATGTTTATATAGTGACAATGGTATACAATGTTTAGCAATCAGCAAATATTAAAAATTCTTGTAGTTATCAGTGGAAAGTGAGCCATTACATGAAAAAAATATATAAGGCACAAAATTTATATTAACTACCTAGTAGGGAAGTCAAAACATACACACCTGAAATAGTAGTATATTTATGTGTAGACACATGAGTGTGTGTGCAAGGCACAAATTACATGCTGATCTAAAACCCATTCTAAGTATAGACTGGTATTTTCTTTACGTATCTGCCACTGGAATATATTCCCAAGAAATTTTAAATATGAAAAGGGTTCTTAGGCCAAATAAATTTGAAAAGTTCTGCATATACTTTCTTCTATTGAGAGACTAGAAAGGTACACTTGTAGGTTAAAGATTCAAAGAAATCTGGCAATTTGGAAATAATTTACTGTTATTTGTGTAGCATTTACCAACATAAATTACAAAGCTCTTTTCTTATGTAACAGATTTAAATATCATTCAGAACTACTGTTCCATGCAATGACCTTTACAATGTGCAGACCCAGACTAGAGAATAAAGTCATGTTCACAGGAGGAAGCTTCACAGAGCAGGTATTCTTGATGGATGGAACTTAATAATAATGGAGAAGACTCTAGGTATTCTTAGTGAGAAAATAAGAATTAGCAAAGGCTTACAGGTTTACCTGAGTTGTAGATGAAGTAAGAACAGAGAAGAAACCACTCTGACTGAAGTAAGGTTGCATATGTATAAGGAATCAGTTAATGAAAAGTTTTGAAATCCGTTTATTTATTTACTCATTTTACTATTCACAAGTATCACCATGTTTCTGCTGTTTCCAGCCATTACTTAGACACTAGCAACTTGATGTCTCAAGTAATAGTGAAAATATCACTTACAAAATTTTAATATTAATTTATCTAACCTTTACTAAGTACAATTTTGTCCCACTTTGGGGATGCCAAGTTGCTAGTTCAAAGTTTCCATTCATAAGGATCTCAGAGGCATGACAATTTCTAAAAACAATGCATACAAGAAGAAATAGAAATATACACAGACTCTAATGAGAGGGATAGCCAGCAAGCATTTCAAGGCTGGACAGAATTGTCAGGGATTTCCTGGAGAAGTGAACTCGATCTCAAAGGATGATTAAGTGTTAGCCAAGTATTGAGGGAGAACAACTTCCAGGCCTGAGGAGTAAAAAGTAAGAACAAAGGCACAACAGAAAGGAAAAGGCTAGTAAATGTGTATGCACAGGTGGATCAGAAGCATGGCTGTAGGAACAAGTGCAAGGCAAAGAATAGTGGGGGGTGAGAGAGCAGATGCCTGGTGGTCTCATATGCCCCATAAAAGATTTGATCTTCTAAATCAGAGGAAAACACTGGAATGTTTTACTTTAGGGAGTACTGTGGTTATACATGTGATTTAAATAGATTGTCTTAGCAGCCAGGTGGAGGATGGATTTGGGGAATGGGTTAGAAGGTGCTGACAACCTAGGTGAAGGTGATTGATAAAATTCTCTTGAACAGCCAAGGTAGGTGATGCAAGTGTTGGGCCCAGACCAGAGCCTGTCAGCCTTTCAGCACTTGTTGGTTCTGACTTTGCACACAATTCAATTAATAATAAACCTGGTTTGATCGTTTATCAGTCAGTAAAAAACTTTTAAAAGGAGACGAAAAATGCTCAAGTCCTGTAATAACATCAGGGAATAATAATTAACAGAGAACAAAGAGGCAAAATCAATAAAATGATTCACAGTAATTGAAATTCAACTATTGAACTTAGGGGGAAATGCACAGGACTAACAGGTTGTTAGGAAATATTGAACAAGTATATAATCACCTTAAATTTATTTCTTACTTGTTTCTTCTTTAACTTAATTTTTTATACTTAACTATACTTAATTATACTTTCTTCATTGTGATGAGTTTTTAAGTGTGAGTTGATGTTAATAAACTCACTGCCTATCAAAGCTAAGTACCCAATAAGTGGAAGCTATTACTCTTGCTAATAAAGTGGTTTGGGCCAGCATCCTACCTATATTGATTTTAATGATTGTTACATTAAAAAGTGGTTCCATGCTAAGTAAATTTGGGAAAATAAGGAATTAAATAAAGTTGTTTAAAGATTTCTAAGGGAAGAGTAATATGATTAAAATAGCACTTTCAGATAATAAATACAATGGTAAGGCATACCACCTGGAGGAGGGAACATCGACTTTGAGGAAAAAGCAAAGAGATTCAGATACTTGTTTTTAGGAACCAGAAAGTAGAGATAAAGACAACGAAGATGAAGAAAATCCAATGAATAAACATGCACATAGAAAATTGTATTTGAGCATCATAGAAGTGAAATGAGAGGTTACAGGAAGAAAGAATATAGAAGACTATGAAAAGAAAGCTATAGCAGGGTCACCAAAGATCATTCCTATATTGGGAGGTTAAGGGATAGGAGGGTTCACTGGAGCATCCAGAGAGACAGAGCTCCCAAGTGTATATTCTATTAGTGGGTCTCATCTGACCCTAAGGACCCTGCATAAAACCAAGATTACTATTTTTTTAAAAAAAAGGTTTATTTATTTATGCATATAAGAATGGGGTATAGGCCAGAGGTGGTGGTGGTGGGGTGAGAGGATTCACTAGAGACAGAGAGGGGAATACAACAAGCAGATTGACTGAAAAATACTGCTGAGGGGAGCAGCAGGCAAGTCAGGAGAGGTCTGCTGTGCCATGTCGGTATCTCCCTGGCCGGGGATTGAACTCGTGCTGCAGTGGCTGTGGATAGTTTCATAGGTTGCATCTTAACCCCTTGTGCCACCAGGGAGTCCCCGCAAGATTACTCTTATGTAGGAAGGCTTTTCACTGGTCAGTCACTTCTATGACTCCTGTTCTTCCTGCATCCACTTGGTCCCAACCAAATCTGTATGTACTGGAGCTATTGAAAATTAAGGTAATGTTCCTCATCCTTGATTAGTTGTAAGGGTATGCCTGTGGACTAGAGAATTAACGGGATCTGGACTTGAAAAGCATGAAGTTGAAGTGTGAACTACTTTTATGAGAAAGGTCTTCTCCATTATTGTCACAGTACCACACAAAATATCATTGCCCACACTTGGTTCTAGGTGTCACAAACATAGATAGAATTTATATTTAATTTGAAGACACTATTTAGTATACATTAGTTAGTACAATATTAAATTTAGGTTATAGTAAGTTCAATATCTTCAGAATCCTTAGTGTGGTTCTAAGAAGTAGTATTCTAATTTCAACCAAGTCAACACTAAATTTTATGGTTTTGAAATTAACATACCTTGTACCAATGAAATTGTTTTCCTTGAACAGCAAAAATGACATTAATGTTGTTGTCTATTAATTTTTCTGAAAGTTGACCCAGTGAAGGATGTTCCTGTAGTGAATAATGAAATAAGAAGAAAAATTCAGTAACTTAATCCCACACATGTCCAAACATCTAATATGAAGAAAACCATATGACTTACATAAAAATATACTTTGTTGAGAAAGATTATGGTTTCACTGGAAGCATTTAAATTCTTCAAAAAAGTAAGATTAGCACCAACATATTAAGCATATTTTATAAACAAAATCTCCACAAAGACATGTAACTCAGAAATACAAAGAGGGCTAAATTCAAAATAGTACAATGAGTGTTCAGTGTCTCTTTATATTAACATTGGACTCAAAGGATAACTGAAAGATAATTTAATATTCAGAAACAGACAAATTGATGACAATTACATTGTGAGGCATATTCAATGGTATGTTGGAATGCAAGTATATGCATTTATATACACATATGTAATATACACATACATACATATTTATATATTTCATATGATATAATATAAACTGTATAAAACCAGAAAACTCTGTACTTAAATCCTAGGTAGCTACTTTATGATAAAAATGCTATCTCAGGTCCATCCTCTATAGCATGTGAATGTTACCTGCTAGCCATGACTATGGACAGGATTAAAAATAGAACAATAGTAGGTGAACCATCTAGTACAGTTTCTTGAATGTAGCAGGGACTCAAAACTAAGAGCAACTATTGTGAGTTTTATTTCCAAGTATTTATAAGGTGTAGGTTATAGATCTCTGAATTTTGGCTTTTTTTTTTTAAATTGAGGTAATATGATTTAAATTATTGGGCAATTATGTGAACTTAATAAGAGTTAAATTTATTAGCTTTATTTACAGCCTAAGTTCTGTGACCCACATATTAAAGTTATTACACATAGAATTAAGATGTGGCCTTGTGCTTAAAAATGCTCTCATTAGGGTATCCCTGGTGGCACAAGGGGTTAAGCACTGCACTATGAAGCAGTCCACAGCCTCTGCAGCACGAGTTTGATCCCCGGCTGGCCAGGGAGCTACCCACATGGTGAGGCAGACCCCTCCTGTCTCAAGCGCTGCTCCCTTTAGCAGTGTATTTCAGTCAGTCTGCCTCTTCTGTTTCCCACTCTGTCTCTGGTGAATCCTCTCATCCTCTGCATCTGGCCTGTGCCCCAGCTCTTGTATGCATAAACAAATAAATAAATCTTAAAAAAAATACTCTCATTAACATGAGTAACAGCTGTGGTCTGAATATTTGTATTCCATCCCTCTCCCACCAGGTTCATATATAAATCCTAATCCCTAAGGTGATGCTATTAGGAGATTGGGTCTTTGGGAAATTATTTATGTCAGCCCCCATGAATATGATTAGTTCTCTCTTAAAGGGTGCTAGTTGGAGAAAGTTCCCTGGCTCCTTCTACCATTTAAGGTTACAGCTAAAACTTGTCATCTATGAACTGGAAAGTAAGCTTTCATCAGAAACCAAATCTGCCAGTGTCTTCATTTGGACTTTCCAGCCATAACTGTGAGGAATAAATTTCAGTATTGATAAGCCACCCAGTTTATGGTGCTTTATCATAGCAGCCTGAATGGACTAAGATAATAATTGTAACAGTATTCTTTTATTTCTATATAATCTATAATTGCTGAGATAAGAACAGATCACATTTTTTTTGAACAGCATTTAAATATGATATGAAACTAATTAATGAAGAGGTTTAAAAAGTATTACCATATGAATTTCCGTAAATAAGAATTCCGCCTAGAACAATACTTAAGAATATAATTTTAAAGTTACAGAAAAACAATCCCTAAAAATAATTTTTGCCAGATAAGTTCTTATTCCCTATTCCTAGTAATATGTATATTCTTAAAATAGACTTGTGATGTTTGTATAATGCTAGTAAATTAAAGAGAACAAGTAAAAGAATGGTAAATTTAGCAGTATTGAGAGAGTTTTTTTAGGGCAACAACTACTTTTCAGATATTTTTGCTCTGACAAAAAGTAATCAGTTTGCCCAATATTCCCCCTTCTTAATTTCTAAAACCATTCATATTTTAAGGAAAATTTAATCCATATGTTTTTAACCAGCTTATACTTAACTTACATTAAATCAATATTTAAAGAACAATCCAAAATGTAAGCAGCATTTGGAGCTTCTTAATCCATTTCCCCCTTTCAAAAACAGGAAATCACAATGGCCAAGAGTACACAATTTTTAATCTAGAAAATTCTGGTTTGGTCAGAAGCTCATTAGGAAGGTCAGTTGGATTTTTAAGCTTAAAAGAACACATTTTTTTGAACTTTAGAAAGAAATGTGTTTTAAAATAAAATTCCAAGTACCTCGAGGTTATTTGTTAAAATTACAAATGTTTAACAGATGTTTAAATAAACCACTGTTGACAAGAGAGCTGTGGATTAATGGACACTGTTGAAGCTCCTTTCCCTTTCCTCCAGGAATCATATTATCTTTTCAGAATTTTATCTTTTATGTCTTGTATTTCACTAGCAGGAACACTCCCTCTCAGCCAGCTGTCCAGTTCTGGTGACATCACCTTCTCAAATCAAACTCCCCCTCTGTCTAACCTGTTACATATTGTTTCTCTAAACTCTGAAAATAATTAATAGAGATATCAGGCATTTCAGGGGCAGAAGGGAGAAGGGAAAGCAATGTGCCAAGACAGCGGTTAAGTAATTAAGGGCAAAAGGATTCCTTTCGCATTTTTCTTCCTCACCAACACCTTCACTGTGACTTATGGGAAGTAACTTCATGTCAGAAGGGAAGAGGAGGTAAGAAAGACTCACTGGGAGCAATTTGTGATAACTGTGTGGAGATATATGGGAGAATTTTAATAATGTCCATATGTAGTGGACAAGAAGAGATGTGCTTAACATTCTCTTCATAAAAATGAGATTCATACATAAAAATTTTATAAGTTAATACAGACTTTGTAATATGACTATCAAAATAAGCTACAACCCCCCTCTCCAACATCTTGGTTTAAAAAAAGTACTCAATTATCTGGATTATTTTTTGCAATTCACTTTTTATAGTACAGAGACAAGTAACATCAAAGCAACCTGAAAACAGAGATGTATTTAGAGATGAAGTTTGCTAAGTTATGTATTGTCAGTTATATCTATCCTAATAGCCTATTTTTATCTAAATGCAGACTATGGGCTGGGTATTCTGCCTCGTGGGATGAGGGACTGTCCTGTTCTTCCAAGGAGGAACATCCCTGACTTCTATCTATTAGATGTCAGTGTCACCCTCTCTCCAAGTTGTAACAACTAAATGTCCCTGGACTTGGAAATGTTGTGTTGGGGGCAAAATTTCTCCAGTTGAGAACCATAACCCAAAGCAGACTTCCTTGGGGCGTCAACTCCTAATTCATGATTATTGGGTATATAACACGGAGCAGTTATCTTAATCTCTCTACAATTTCAGTTTCCACATCTATAAAACCTGTATGAATACTAGTATTTACCTGTCAGAGTTTTAGTGTTGATTATACAGGGTAGTATGTGTAAAGACTTTCACTTGCCATTCAGTAGAAATGAAGCCCAGATTAACAGTGAGTAGAGCTCACGTCCTGATGTCATATTGCTCAGCATTTACCATAGGCACTACCACATAAGGCTGTGTTTCCTTAGATAAATACCTGATCCTTTTAGTGTCTCCATTTCTCATTTGTAAAATGGAGGGATTAGAAATAGCTGTACCTCACTGGGATGCTTGATGGTGTTACATAAATGTAAAGGAACAGATACCACAGGACTGCTTAATAAGAAACAGTCTTCAATAAAATACTGCTTAGTAAAAGACATTTAGAGACCATTGCTAACACTTAGATATTGAACTCTGAGATATATTTTATTTGTGTTGCTTCATTATTTAACTTCCATACCTGGTCTCTGAAGTATTTGAGTTTGTGGTCCCTGCCAAACAGTATCAACTGTAATCTGATATCCTAGTTATGGAAAGTTATAGACAAATAATTTTGAGAGTTTTTAATGACAGTGGTAATAAAAAGCTTTCTGCTTCAATGTGACTTGACCAAAACATAATTTAATTGTGATATCCTATTTCATAAATACTTTTACCAAATTTTGTTTTTATTGCACCACATTTGCAAAGCTCTATTGTTTTTCATTTTCAGAGTCATTATAAAAGCAGTACTAGGCTACTTTGAGGCTGACCCAGGTGATTCTGTGTGGCTTTTTGCTTTCAATTTGAAAGAGAAAAGAAATTAAATAGTTTTCAGAGCTCATTTTCTGGCTATTTTTCTACAATCATGGGGAGCATTTGAACTAAGTCTGTTCTAAAATTAATATTGAAGTCATTGTTCTTAAGGCATTTACAATTTAAAGCATAATTCAGAGAGCAATGTGCTGAAAGCAGGCATTTTTGTTAGTTTTTTAAAGATTTATTTATTTATTTATTTATTTATTTATTTATTTATACAAGAACTGGGGTACAGGCCAGATGTGCGGGAGGGTGAGAGGATTCACCAGAGACAGAGTGGGGAACAGAACAGACTGAATGAAAGACACTGCTGAGGGGAGCGGCTGGCGAGAAAGGAGAGGTCTGCTACACCATGTGGGACCCTCCAGCTGGCTGGGATGGAACTGGCGCTGCAGAGGCTGCAGACAGGTTCACAGCACTGTGCTCAAACGCCTGCGCCACTAGGGGAGGCCCCATTTTGTTAGTTTTAAAATAGGTAATAATTAAAAAAAAATGCACATGGACTTAGGACTTCCTGGGTACATTCTTCCTGGGTGGCATTTTTCTTCGCTTTCCTGAGTGTACATGTTAGTACTAGCACTCAAACATGATCTTGTCTCTTTAATTAATTATAAAAGTTATATTTTTATGCATGTTAAGCAGACAGAAAAGTGAGTATCTGAATCAGTAAGATTATTATGCTTTAGCTTGTTTATATTAGAATTACTGTTATTACTCTTATAATTACAAATCACTAATTTCCATGAGCGTAAATAAATACTAACTTCTATTCCTCCATTTAAATGATGGTTTTAATTTAGAAGGC